CTGTTCATCATACGCATGGTGATATTCTGGGCACTGAGAACCTAACAGGTGGTTCTTAACATAAGGTCAGTGTATAAAATTGGTATTATGAACAGTGTAAACAAAACAAACACATTTGGAAAGAGTTAGATATTCCAATATACAGAATTTTCTCCCAAGTATAAAACAAACATGGAGTGTCCTTATACAAGCTGCATTTTCATGTTGCTATGTTAAAATCAGACAAGTTGAACTTGATTTTTTTTCCATTTTCTAAGTGAATTTTACATATTCTTTGTTTCAGAACAAATTCCAAGGAATGGTCTTTGATTTTGTAACCAAACAAGTCTTTGATATCAGCATCATGATCCTCATCTGCCTCAACATGGTCACCATGATGGTAGAAACCGATGATCAGAGTCAAGAAATGACAAACATCCTGTACTGGATTAATCTGGTGTTTATTGTTCTGTTCACTGGAGAATGTGTACTGAAACTAATCTCTCTTCGTTATTACTATTTCACCATAGGATGGAATATTTTTGATTTTGTGGTGGTCATTCTCTCCATTGTAGGTAAGAAGAAGTGCTTTTACTCACCTACAGACATTAAGTAGTGAAAATTGGTGTTTTGAAACTTTAAAGTGTTATCTTACTCATTCATCCCAAAATTTTAAATGAAAGTCTAATTAATAGTCCATTCTCAGCTTGCCGCTTCTCTAATTGCATGCTGTGTATGAAATGATGTGTAAAAAAAAAGAATTCATATTTTGCAGCTTTCATTTATCAGCTAGTCTTATTGCAGAAGACAATAACTACAACTTTGGCATAATACTCCAGAACTCAGCATACTCTTGTAGTACAGACAAGTATTGGTTTGAGTAAACAATTCGCACACACCTGCACATATAAATCACTAGGAGAAGTCAAATCATTCATAAATAATTGTCCTTGATAATTGGAATAGCATGTTGTGTGTTTATATATATTCACACTCATACAGGCTTCACATTATCTTTGGGTTCAGATAGTTTTCTATGGTGTGTAATACTCTTTTTCAGAAATAAACATTTTGTTCAAAAATTCAAAGCAGATTCATTTTGTCAGTACACTTTAAGTGTTTATGTGTAGGCCAGCAAATCTGGAAGTAAATATAAGAAATTTAAGAT